TGTATTTTATTAAAAAAATTTTTTTTAATGTTTATTTATTTTTGAGAGAGACAGAGACAGAATGAGAGTGGGTTAGGGGCAGAGAGAGAGGGAGACACAGAATCTGAAGCATGTTCCAGGCTCTGAGCTGTCAGCACAGAACCCGACGCGGGGCTCGAACTTATGAACTGAACTGTGAGATCCTGAGCCAAAGTCGGACACTCAACCGACTGAGCCACCCAGGCACTCCAATGTTTATTTATTTTTGAAGGAGAGAGAGACAGAGTGTGAGCAGGGGAGGGGCAGAGAGAGAGGGAGACACAGAATCTGAAGCAGGCTCCAGGTTCTGAGCTGCCAGCACAGAGCCCGACGCGGGCTTGAACTCACAAACTGTGAGATCATGACCTGAGCCGAAGTCGGACGCTTAACCGACTGAGCCACCCAGGCACCCCTTTTTCACATTATTTTAGTGGGTGTTTTGGGGTTTACATATATCTTATATGTATATACTTTAACTTACAGTTCACCTTCAAGTGATATAATACCAGTTCACAAGTAATTTGAGATTCTAACAACATTATACTTAGGTTTCTCCTTTCCTGGACTTTGTGCTATTATTGCCATACATTTTACTTCTAGATATGTTGTAAACCACACACACAAAAAGTTATTTTTCCTTTAAGCTATCAATTATATTTTAAAGGGATTTAAATAATGAAAGTTTTGTATATTTACCCGCATGGTAACCATTTTAGTTATTTTTCTTTCCTTTGTATAGATCCCACTTTCTGTCTGACGTCATTTTCCTTCTGCCTGAGGACTTCTTTTAACATGTTTACAGTGCAGTTCTGCAAATGATGAATTCTTTCAGTTTTGTATGTTTGAAAAAGTTTTAATTTTGCCTTCATTTTTAAAAGATGTTTTTGCTAATACGGAATTCTAATTGATAGTTTTTGTTTAAAAATATTGTTTTACTATCTTTTGGTTTGCTTATTTTCTGATGAGAAATCTGTCATTCTTATCTCTGTTTCTCTGTATGTAATGCACCTTTTTATGACAGTGTTTAAGATTTTCTCATTTTTAAAAAAAAAATTTTTTTTTTCAACGTTTATTTATTTTTTTGGGGACAGAGAAAGACAGAGCATGAACAGGGGAGGGGCAGAGAGAGAGGGAGACACAGAATCGGAAACAGGCTCCAGGCTCTGAGCCATCAGCCCAGAGCCTGACGTGGGGCTCGAACTCACGGACCGCGAGATCGTGACCTGGCTGAAGTCGGACGCTTAACCGACTGCGCCACCCAGGCACCCCAAAGGTTTTCTCCTTATTACTGGTCTTAAGCAATTTGATGATCTGTGCCTTTGTGCAAAATTATTTCTTGTGCTTAGGGTTTGTTAATATTCTTGGATTTGTGGGTTTATAGCTTTCATCAAATTTGGAAAAATTTTTTTTTTTTTGCAGTACTGTTTTCTCTGTCCTTTCTTATGGACTCCAATTATATGCATATTATGCAGCTTGCTGATGATTTACTTAAAAAAAATTATAGGCTTTTCTTTGTGTTTCATTTTGTATGGTTTCTATTGCTATATCTTCAAATTTACTTTTTCTTTTCCCTGTAATGTCCAAAGTGCTATTTATCCCATCAGCAGATTTTCATCCTAGACATTATAGTTTTCATCTGTAGAAGTTCAGTTTAGGTCTTTTAAATTTTTCCATTTCTTTACTAACACATTGAATCTTTCCTGTAGATTCTCAAGCATATAGAATAGAATCATAATAACCATATATTTGTCTACTGAGGCGCCTGAGTGGCTCAGTCAGTTAAGCGTCCAACTTCAGCTCAGGTCATGATCTCACGGAGCCCTGTGTCGGGCTCTGTGCTGACAGCTCAGGGTCAGGACCCTGCTTCGAACTCTGTGTCTCCCTCTCTGTCTCTGCCCCTCCCCCGCTCATGCTCTGTCTGTCTCTGAAAAATAAATACATGTAAAAAAAACCAACAAAATACAAAGCTTTAAAATAATGTGTATTTGTCTACTAATTCTATAAACTGTCATTTCTAGGTCATTTTTGGTTATTTTTCTCATTATGGGTTGTATTTTCCTGCTTATTTGCATGTCTAATACTTTTTTAATGCTTTTTTTTAACTTAATTAAATTTATGGGTCAATGCCCATCCCCCATTTTTCCCTCTCCCCCATCAACCCTCAGTTTGTTCTCTGTATTTAAGCGTTTCTTATGGTTTGCCTCCCTCCCTCTCTGTAACTGTTTTTTTTCCCCCCTTCCCTTCCCCCATGGTCTTCTGTTAAGTTTCTCAAGATCCACCTGTGAGTGAAAACATATGCTATCTGTCTTTCTCTGACTGACTTATTTCACTTAGCATGGTACCTTTCAGTTCCATCCACGTTGCCACAGATGGCAGGATTTCATTCTTTCTCATTGTCAAGTAGTATTCCATTGTATATATAAACCATATCTTTATCCATTCATCAGTTGATGGACTTTTAGGCTCTTTCCATAATTTGGCTATTGTTGAAAGTGCTGCTGTAAACATTGGGGTACAAGTGCCCCTGTGCATCAGCACTCCTGTATCCCTTGGTAATCCTAGCAATGCTATTGCTGGGTCATAGGGTAGTTCTATTTTTAATTTTTTGAGGAACCTCCACACTTTTCCGGAGAAGCTGCACCAGTTTGCATTCCCACCACCAGTGCAAGAGGGTTCCTGTTTCTCCACATCCTGGCCAGCATCTGTAGTCTCCTGATATGTTCATTTTAGCCACTCTGACTGGTGCGAGGTGGTATCTCAGGGTGGCTTTGATCTGTATTTCCCTGATGATGAGTGACGTTGAGCATCTTTTCATGTGTCTATTGGCTATCTGGATGTCTTCTTTGGAAAAGTGTCTATTCATGTCTTTTGCCCATTTCTTCACTGGATTATTTGTTTTTCAGGTGTGGAGTTTGGTGAGTTCTTTATAGATTTTGGATACTAGCCCTTTATCCAGTATGTCATTTGCAAATATCTTTTCCCATTTCGTTGGTTGCCTTTTAGTTTTGTTGATTGTTTCCTTTGCGGTGCAGAAGCTTTTTATCTTGATGAGGTCCCAATAGTTCATTTTTGCTTTGAATTCCCTTGCCTTTGGAGATGTGTTGAGTAAGAAATTGCTCTGGCTGAGGTCAAAGAGGTTTTTTCCTGTTTTCTCCTCTAGGGTTTTGATGGTTTTCTGTCTCACATTCAGGCCTTTCATCCATTTTAAGTTTATTTTTGTGTATGGTGTAAGAAAGTGGTCTAGTTTTCATTCTTCTGCATGTTGCTGTCCAGTTCTCCCAGCACCATTTGCTAAAGAGACTATCTTTTTTACCACTGGATACTCTTTCCTGCTTTGTCAAAGATTAGTTGGCCATACATTTGTGGGTCCAATTCTGGGTTCTCTGTTCTATTCATTGGTCTATGTGTCTGTTTTTGTGCCAATACCATGCTGTCTTGATGATTACAGCTTTGTAGTAGAGGCTAAAGTCAGGGATTGTGATGCCTCCTGCGTGGTTTTCTTCTTCAGTATTACTTTGGCTATTTGGAGTCTTTTGTGGTTCCATACAAATTTTAGGATTGTTTGTTCTAACTTCAAGAAGAATGCCGGCGCAATTTTGATTGGAATTGCATTGAATGTGTAGATTGCTTTGGGTAGTATTGACATTTAACAATATTTATTTTAATCCATGGGCATGGAATGTTTTTCCATTTCTTTGTGTCTTCTTCAATTTCCTTCATAATCTCTCTATAGTTTTCAGCATACAGATCTTTTACATCTTTGGTTAGGTTTATTCCTAGGTATTTTATGGTTCTTGGTTAATGCTTAGTTTTTGAGAGAGACAGTGTGTGAGTGGGGGAGAGGGAGAAACAGAATCCGGAGCAGGCCCCAGTCTCTGAGTTGTCAGCACAGAGCCCGCCATAGGGCTGAACTCACAAACCATGAGATCATGACCTGTGCCTAAGTCAGACGCTTAACCCACTGAGTCACCCAGGTGCCCCATCATGTCTAATAATTTTTAATCTGATATCAGGCATTGTAAGTTTTATGTTATTGAACACTGGATGTTTTTATGTCTCTATACAAAGGTCCTCTGAATGCTTACCCAGTGACCTGTGAGTTATGAAGGTTTCCACTCTGGTTGGTGAGAACGTGCTATACTTTGGGCCCATGTGAACACTATTACCTTTAATATTTGGGGGCAATTCTTTCTCTGTCCTCAGTTTCATCATACACGTGTACCAATCAGTACTCTGTTGAATAGTCTCGGGGATCCTCTGTAGATCTTTGGTGTTCTTGCTCTGTGCATTTTCTTCTCTCTAGTACTCTTCCTGTAAACCCAAGCTGCCTTGGTCTTCCTAGAGTTCCAGCTTTATCTTCTCAAACTTAGGGAGACTGATACATTTCAGCTGGATTTACCCTCCTTGAGCTGTTGCCTAGAGATTTTCTCCAGGCAACAAGCTGGGGCAATTGTAGGTTCATCTTACTTGCTTTTGGTCTCTCAGGAATCTTTATCCTACCTTGCCTGATTTTTAATGTCCTTACAACTGTTTCATAATATATTTTGCATAGTATTTTAGTTGTTTTAGGTGGAAGGTAAATCTGACCCCTGTTTTACTCTATTATTGCCCCAAATGGAAGTCTCCTAATTTGTTATTACATAAGATTTTAAGAATCTGGGCATTTTAAAAATTAGTTTGTACAGAGACCAATGTAGCTTCATTTCTTAATAGATTATGTTGACGGTTTTGATATAGAACATAATTTAACATATTTTGTAGTATATATTTTTAATGAAAACCTGAATGCTCTGAAGAGATTTATAAGAATTGCTATTATTTTTGTTAAAATCTTTCAAAAGTTCTGACAAGCATGGATAGTACTTGGTAAGTTAATTAAAATTTAAATGTATTTTATACATATAAATAAATATATGAGTAATATTTAAATATGTATCATGTAAAAATAACTATATAAATAAATTTTATTGTTCCTTTACTAGGTCTTCATCCTCCAGGTCCACCTTTAGCAAGACCCATTCTCCCCCGAGAGCGAGGTGCTCTGGATAGAATTGTTGAATATTTAGTTGGTGATGGTCCACAGAACAGGTAATGTTTGTTAGGGTGGTAGGTAAATGAAAATGAAGAAGTTTATTGGTCAAAAGGGTGTGTGTGTGTGTGTGTGTGTGTGTGCGCGTGCATGCACACTAGACATTCTATGGTTTTGTGACTCCTGTTTCCTGATTTTAGAACATAATAGAATATTTTATGCCCCTGTAAAAGAGAACATACTCAGTTGTTTTTCAGTAAGAGTTTTGATAAAATGCAAAAAAATATATAGAGAGAACAAAAACTGTTGTGACCCTACTATAAGATTATTTTTAGAGAAATTAAATCATTTGTTTGAAACTTTTAAACTTGAAGAGCACACAAATAGTGAAAACTTGGTAGTTTGTAAGAAATGGGGTTTTATAGATATCAGTATGGGAGTCGGTGATGGTAATGATTTTAATGGCAACGAGGACAATTTAGATATGTTTGACGCTATGGTTTTCAAAATAGTTTTCCAATTATTATCTTATTTGATTTTTACAATAAGTCTAGGAAGATAGGGGTGATGTGAGCAGAGCAACTGTCATAATATAGACTTTTAAAAAATACTTTAGGATAGTAGACTAGAATATTTGACAAGGTTATTGGTTAATATTATTTCAATAAAAGGACTAGAATTTAATGTTAATGTAATAATTGTATATTATTCAAAACAGACAAGTTGTTGTTTGGTCGGGCCAAGTGTTAAGTGCATACACAGAGAACAGAGAATGTATAAATAGGAAATGAGGAAGATGTATAACTAGGATAGACACAGCAATCGTGATGTTTGGAAGTTAACCTTTGGACTGGACTAAACAGATTCATTTCTTTACTACAGACTTCTCAGAAGTTTTATTTTTATTTTATTTTATTTTATTTTATTTTATTTTATTTTATTTTATTTATTTTTCAGAAGTTTTAATAACATTCATTGTGAATCACTAAGGGGTTCCATCTTTTCCAATCTAATCTGACCATGGATTTTGGGTCTGTTAGCCTCAGAAATATATGTTAGGAAGTACTGAAATTTAAGTGTTCTGTTATTGAATATGTTTGTTACCTTAGTAAGGATATATTCATTTGACTGTTGCTTAGTTTGTTTTTCGTTTTGTGTATAAATTATATTTTAGAAAGGTTGAAATTTTGGCTGTTATGGTTAAAGGGTATTGTTTATTGTTTACTAAGTAACATTTAGTCTGTTATGGCATATTTAGCTGTGTAAAATATTAGTTAGCTGTGATGGCTATTTTCATGGGCTTTGTCTGCATTTGTAACTGATCTGTTCATTTTTCCTTTTGGTGTAGGTATGCCCTTATATGTCAGCAGTGTTTTTCTCATAATGGAATGGCTTTGAAAGAAGAATTTGAATACATTGGTAAGAATTATTGGGCGTTTAGATTAAAATATTTTACTCTTAAATATTTCATCCTATGCCAAGTCCCATGTAATGTCACTTTGTTTTAGGTGCTCTGTTTGTATTGTTCAGGCATATTGTCCTTATTTTAGAACACAGAGCAAAGCAGGAACAACAATGCAGGTTTTTTCCTCATATAGCGTACAACTTCTAGGTCTTTTCAAACTTCATTGTGCATCAGAATCACCTGAAGAGCTTTTAAAAATACAATGCCCAAGACCCACCAACTAAGAGTCTGTTTTAATTGATTTGGGGTGGGTCCAGGCTTTTTTTTTTAAGCTCCTCAGAGGATTCTCATGTGCAGCCACTATTAAAAATTATTGTGCTAAATTACTTATGTTTCTTAAATATGACATACTATAGTTTCTTGGGCACGTGAGCAATGTTCTGGATTTTAAAATCCCTAATGATTATAGTGACTAGAAATGTAATTTCTGTAATACATTTGGATCATTATTAATATTGTTTTGCTATTAGATAACCTGCTGTGTAACTTACCATCTTTTCTGATTTATTTATTTACTTATTATTTATTTATTATTTTTTAAAATACAATTTATTGTCAAGTTAGCTAACATACAGTGTACATAGTGTGCTCTTGGCTTCGGGAGTAGATTCCCATGACTCATTGCTTACATACAACACTCAGTGCTCATCCCGACAAGTGTTCTTTTCAATGCCCATTACGTATTCCTCAACCCCCCCATCCACCCTCAGTTTGTTCTCTGTATTTAAGAGTCTCTTATGATTTGCCTCCCTCTCTGGTTGAAACTACTTTTTTCTCCTTCCCTTCTCCCATGGTCTTCTGTTAAGTTTCTCAAATTCCTCATATGACTGAAAACATATATCTGTCTTTCTCTGACTTTTCTGTTTTAAAATTAATATTCTAATTCTAATAATAATTAGAAATTATGCTTTAAAATTAGCTTTTGTTAGAGCACCTGGCATTATTATTAAAACTAGATGTAGTTTCACAAGGGATAAATAACTTTTGAAGGGTTCTTTGACTATTTGCAAAAGTAATCTTGAGAATGATCTGATTAGTCCTTGAATTTTTATTTTTTTTGGTTTGTGGTTTTGTTTATTTTTTAAAAAAATTCTCTGCAGCTTTTCGATGTGCCTACTGTTTTTTCTTGAATCCTGCAAGAAAAACTAGACCTCAGGCTCCAAGACTTCCAGAGTTTAGTTTTGAGAAGAGGCAGGCAGTGGAAAGCTCAAGTTCAGTTGGTCCCTTGCCCTCAGGAAGTGTGATTTCGTCAGAGAACCAGACCAGTGAAGGTATGAATATGTTAATTAAAAAGTTTTATCTTTTAATAATGTTTGTTATTTAACATTAAAAGCATAATGCTTTTAGATAAGAATGGATTAATTTATCAGATATTGCAGCATGCATATATCAGCTATTGCTCTGATACTCAGCCCTCCTGTGTGATTGGTATGATGTGTTTCAGTTTTAAAATGTAGGTTACCCTGTGTTAAGCAGCATCCACCCACAGCTGGGTAAACATTGTTTATGGAGTGACATCTAGGAACTGTTGGGAGATTTGACTAGTGATACTTTCATGGAATCATTTTTTCAATTTATTTAAGTGAAGCATGTTATAAGAATTATGCAACTACTTGTAAGGGTAAAATTCTGCTATAATTTGTAGTTAACATTGATAAAATAGATTTGTGCCTACCATTGGAATTGGTAAGGTTACCAGAAGCAAGAAACTTTGGAACTGGAAAGTCGTCCTTGGCATTCTTTGGATAAGTATGTTGATAGGACTGGTGTTTCTTTGAAACAATTTATTGAGGTGCACAAGATTTAACATTGCTACTGTATGCCTTTGATGTAAAACAACCTTTTGCAAAAGAGAAACAGAATTTATCAGAATTCATTGGTTTTTAGGATTCATCTTTAATTCTGTTTTAGGACTTCTTGTGGAAGTTTCATAAGCAAATGGAAAAGATGAGGTGGAAGATCTGACTATTAATTGCCAACTGTTTCTTGTTAATATTAGGTGGGGAGCTATTTGTTAAGCAGCTCCTAGTCATGGAGATGCTAAAATTATGGCACAGGCCATGATATTTTGGTGCTATGCCTGATGTAGAAAAAAATCCATATTAGAAGTTTAGTTCACATAGTGTATTTAGCAGTCTGTATTCATCCTTTTAATTTCTAGGAATTCTCATTTATAGATATTTGATTTCTTCTTTATACAAACACTGAGTAGTGAAAAAACTGCTTTAACTGAGAACAATAAAGCAGTGAATTTTCAGATATCAGAAGGTTAATATAAAAATTTGAGTATCTTTTTTTTTTTTTTTTTAACTTTGAAGAGTGAACCTAAAATACGTGTGTTGATTTGGACTTGGCTTTTGGCTTACTAACATGCATCAGAATGAATTTGAACACAGATAGCCATGACAAGAAGTGTGTATACTTTCAACACTGAATCAATACATTCACTTTCTCCAAGTCTGCAGTATCAACTCCAAACATATCACATTTTTTCTTTTGCTTAAGTCATGCTCTGAAGCAGATTATTGCATGCAAATCACCTGCCTTGCTATTGCAGCCTCTTGGAACTGAAAACTAAGGAATTTCATACTGAAGATGCCTAGAGGAAAATTTGAAGTCCTTTCCATAAATAAGTAACCTTGCTTATGAAAGCTAAAGTGAATATTTGAAAGCCAATAGTTGGGACACACACACACACACAAAGAAACAAAAGGAAAAACAGCCAACAAAATAAAAATCTTGATGAGTCCCATGCTTTATATCTTCTCCCAGGGTTGAGATGGATAGTTAGCAAACAACACCCAGCTATACCTTTCCTTCTCATCAAATCTAGGAGGAGCAATACCCCAGATGTCTCATTTTCTATCTGAAATCTCCAGAACGAAGTCTAACTGGCTCAGACTCAGCCCTAATAAGGTAATGTTTATAGGTGAAGACAAAACTTGAGGCAAGGTCTGACAGCTGTGTAGTGCTGGAAACTGAAGCAACAATTCCATTTGGTTGAGATGATCTTTGGAGGAGTAACTTTTTCATACTTCTCTTTGGATTCATTGAAGTGGCTATGAGAATTTTTTACTTCTTTGGCTTTCCAGAAGATTGAAACTTTTCTCCAAGATTCTGTCTCAGCACTGTGATACACAGTTATCATTTCCAAGCTGCAGTTCTTTAGTAGACGACTAGGAAGTATTCTGATGAAAGATGAAGCTGCATTTGTTGTGAATGCTGGCGGCATACCCTTAAGTCTAAATTGAACAGTAAGGCCATATCATCTCAATCGTCTACTTTTGGTGCCAAGAGCCAGTATAATGGAGGGCTTATATGTCTGATTTCCACATTCTTGATGTAAAAACTTGAGGTCCAAAAGAAAAAAAAAATCTTTCCTGCTTTTATTTTCATATTTTTTAAAAGTAGTGAAGTAGCTCCTTAGTAATTATAGAAACTGCAGAGATTAGGTGATTGAATTCACAGATGGAACTAAAAGGTAACTTTTTTCCATCTGGATTTTTCTTTCAACAAATATTCTATAACCATTTATATGAATAATCTTGAATCATTAGAAGCAGCCTTTTTTTTTTTTTTTCAATCTATGATATAAGACTTTGAAATTAAGTTTTGTCTTGATTCTGCTACTGGAAGATTTTGCATTTAGGATGAGACACAAGGTTTTTGAAAAATTTTTGGATCACTCTTTAGAACAACATATGAAATGTTGGAAAGTTTTCATCAAAGAAGGAGACCTGGAAGAAATTTCTCCCGTTAATTACTCATTTGGATTCCTGGAATTTTTTTTCTAGAATTGTGTGTCCAGATGCTTTGGTAATAGAATATTGAAGAAACACAAGAAATTAGGACGATGGATTTTCTTTTTATCTAGGAGCATACTAGATGTGGTATGCCAAAGTAATGAAGTACTTTTAGGTTACTGGGTTTCTTTTATGGCTAAATGAGTGGTGCAATAATACCTGAATCTCCGCTAATCCACATTAAAGTGGTTTATCAGTTTTGCTTTGTTAAAATGTGCTTTCCAGAATACTTGATATGTAGCATTCTTTTTTGTTAACTATGATAATAATTAGAAAAAGAGATTTCTGTATTGTTAGTGTACCAGTACAGTGATTTTAGGTTAGCATGTTTGAAAAATGTTAATGTTGTTCTAATTGCTCAGTTGTATTTGTCTAGCTCATATGTAATTATTTTAATAAAAAATAGCTTTTACTTAATTGGAAATAACTTGCTAATAATAAAACTCATGGCCTTTAATCAATATTATCAAAAATAGTAAAATTAATTTAAGGTGAAATTTATTTTGGTAATTGATTTCTGCTTTTTTCTTTTAAGCAATATACTGTTACTGTTAGGTATGTTAAACTAGAGAAAATTTTATTTTTAGTGTTGTTCGTTGTGAGGCTCTAGGAAATTGAACTATTTGATAATGTAAACTTTGTTGAATTCTGTGTATTTATCAGATCCAAAAAGCTTGTACCTTTGTTGATATTTAATTATGTACAACTTCCTCAAGGTGTATATTTGCCTATAGGATGTTTTTGCATGTTTGTTTTATTTATTTTTTATTTTTCAAAAAAAATTTTTTTTTCAACGTTTATTTATTTTTGGGACAGAGAGAGACAGAGCATGAACGGGGGAGGGGCAGAGAGAGAGGGAGACACAGAGGAGACACAGAATCGAAATAGCTCCAGGTCGTTCACGCCATGATGGAGAGAGCCATCATCAGCTCGGAGTTGATTACAATGGAACTTCACGGATCAAGCTGTAGATCGCACTCAAGGAAGTCGGATTTGACCGGACAGCGCCGCCAGCACGGTATGCCCCCTTGGCCGTTTGTTTGTTTTAGACACAGAGATCTTTTTTTTTTTTAAATTTTTATGTTTTAGCGTTTATTTATTTTGGGATGAGAGAGAGACAGAGCATGACGGGGAGGGCAGAGAGAGAGGGGAGACACAGAGGGAAACAGGCTCCAGGCTCTGGACAAGCCAGCTCAGGGGAGTCCGACGTTGCCTTTGAATCATGACTCCAGATCACCTGGTTGAAGTCGGATGCCAACCCGACGCGCCCACCTTGGTGGCTTCTCTAGACACAGAGATCTTATGCCCTTCTGATTCTCTTTTCTAAAACGCTTTCACCTAATAGTTTTACATTGTTGCCTAATAATGACATTTCTTACTCATCTAATGGATTTTTTTTTTTTACCAATGCTAAATAACAGTACTATTGTTAAACAATATTCTATTGCTCATTATGAGTTATTTTCTCATAGGTGGTTTTTATTTAATTGAATTTTATTCATTGAACTATTGGGTTAAGTTTTGAGATGAGACGAGATTTATGTCTTTGTTCCTTAATATAAGTTGACCCTTTTCCTCAAGGCAGAAAAATCTTGTAAAAACTGCTTTGCTTAAAACCTATGAGTTAGTTCAAAGACAAACTGTTCATTCTATTTGAACAAATTCTCCTTTGGGTAAGTTTTACACATATAGTGGGTACTGATGTGTGGGCAAGGCAAAAGTTTGATGCATTAGCAAGACAAATTTTTGTTATTGTAAAAGGAATAAAAAGTAAGAATCTAAATGAATCCACTAAAATATGAAGGGTTTTCAAAGGCATAAACTAAATAGAATCGTGGGTTTTTTTCCCCTGTGGAAATTATATATTTCTAAAGGAAATACATGAATTTGTTTTGCTAGACTATTCTTTAGTTTTCTTAGAAAATTACTCTTTCAAGAGCTAGAATAAAAACCTAAAAGTAAGGTGATGTTCTTACATGTTTTTGCATGTGCATGGTTTATAGATGAGGCACTGGTATTTGTTATACAGTTATACTCAGTTTTATGAGTTTGAGTTATCTAGCTGAGTTGAGGCTTTGCCCAAACCAACTGGAAGCCAATTGTTACAATTTGGTAGAGAAAGCTTCTCTCTCAAAGATACTGAGGTGAGAGTGGGGCAGGGGGTAGGAATGGGGGAAGGAACAAATTCCATGGGTCATTTTTGTTTTATGATTGTGATATGTTGGTTTCTTAACACTATGCTTGCCAAAACTGATTTTTAAAATTGTCTTACATAGGTCATTCAGGTAACTTTGTTTTAATTTTGGTGTTAAATTGGTTTTGCACAGGGGAGAAGAGGCCTGTTTAATTAGTGTAAACACAAAGGCTGGTTTCTGTTTTAGTATTTTCTGCCCAGATGTTGACATCTTTTGTAATGTATTTTTTACCACCAAGCTGTTTTAAACTACAACTTTGCAGAAAAAATTTGCTGTTTTTATTAGAATAGGCAAATGATATTCTCCCATAGAAATAAAGTAAATTTAGAATACATTTAATGATCTTATTATAAAGCCCTGTGGTTTAGTTATTAAACACGTAATTCTCTGTTAATCTTGTACACCTAATTCACTTAAATCTTATTTGGATGACTTTTCACAAAATGGCATTGGCACCTAAAAATCAAATATTTATGTCATTTAGACTTAGGTCTGCGATATAGGCATCATGACACATACTGGTTTTTCTGTAGTATTACTAGTCTTAAAATGACTTTTCCGCAAATTAACCTGGGAGAGGAGAAGTAGTCATTAATAGCTTTTTGATTATTTTCAAGCCCTACCCATAATTTCACCAATTTTTAGTATTCTGTGTATTCTTTGCAAATGATACAGTATTGACAAGCAAACTTTGTGTATGATGTCATTTTCTTTTTTTTTAATTAAAAAATTTTTTTCTTTAATATTTATTTATTTTTGAGAGACAGAGAGACACAGAGTGTGAGCAGGGGAGGGGTAGAGGGAGTGGGAGACACAGAATCTGAAGCAGGCTCCAGGCTCTGAGTTGTCAGCACAGAGCCCGACACGGGGCTTGAACTCACAAACTGTGAGATCATCACCTGAGCTGAAGTCGGTTGCTTAACTGACTGAGCCACCCAGGCGCCCCGATGTCATTTTCTAATTATGATAGCCCATGGTATTTCTTAGAATTTATCTTAATAGACATTTACAAATTTAAGTATTGTAGTACTTCTTTTTGTGTTATCTGCTTTAAGACCCCAGAATTTTTAAATTAAATTGGATTTGACCAATGATGTGTCTGCTTCTGAAAATAGTTACATGACAAAGCTTTAAGATGATAAACAATCAACTTGAGTACTTCTGTTTAAGTTCAGTACTGAGGCAGTTGGTCAGACAGTGTGACAAATTACATGGGCCTCTATTCACTTAAACACATTTATTGGTGAGTCCCGGATTCTGAGCTTTTTCTTTTCATTTTGTGTGGCTTTATTGTTTTGTTTTGTGGTTTTTTTTCCAGAAGCCTTTCTAAAATATAACAAATGGTAAAGTTCTTGGCAAGTAAGAACTCTCAATGGCCAGAGAGTTGTGGAAAACCGTGACTCTTAGAATTCTACCCTGGATAAATTCTGAGAGGGTAGAATTACAAATGGTTGGCAACTCCTGAAGTTTTCCACTGAAGAACTTGCTTGCCCTTGTGGCAGAAATGCTCTGTACATGTTTAGAGAGTTTCATATGTACTTTCTGCTTTTCCTTTATGCACTGGAACATTCATATAACAAAACTCAAACAATCTACTGCCTTTCTACCTTGAGTTTTGGAAGATTCCAAGTGGTACAGCAATGTCATTTTCAGTTCCTTTTAAGATGAGAATAGCATTTTTGTGACAGTTGACATAAATAGGATTTGTGAACATTACTCACTACTTTTGGGGATCATGTGAATTTTCATACAGTAAAACCTCATTAACTTGGATGTTCCCAACTGTGGAATTTTGGCCTTTCATTCTATATATGAAAGAGGGAAGGAGGTTATAACTAATTCTGTAAACTATAGTCCAAGATATGTTTAAAGACATAATTACTTTATGTGAATTACTATATATGTAATTACATAATTACTATATATGTGAAATATAGATAATTTGTATTTATTAAAACTGATAATGGTAAACCATGACTTTGTAAGACCTCCACATTTCTGTGTGCATACAGCACATAATTTCTTTGCAAAACTATTAACTAATTTTATTTATTTAGCAAGACTCTGACCTGTACTGTAAAGGAACTAAACTTGAACTTTTTACTAACGTAAACTGGTTTTTCCTCCGATTTTTTGAATTAATAACATTTGTAGTGTATCGTTAGGGATCTTGTATGAGCATAATAAAATCTGCTTATTTGTTTAGCTGATGTGATTTAACGATATTTCTCCTAGCAAGGATATTTGTTACTATCTATTACAAAAACAAAAGCTAGATTTTTATTTTTGACTTGGAAAATAAGAGGCCCAAAGCTTTCTGCTTCTGACATCTTCCCCTCCCCACTGGCATTTAATTTTTTAAACTTTAAAGAATTAAAGGGACTTTATTGAATAAAATAATAATAATTATTATTAGGGATTTGAGTTTAATGAAACTCAAAAGAGAGTTTAAAGGGAGTAAATTTTCAGGTAGGAACCAAGACCCTCCCTTAGCTTCTACTCTGGCGACAGGGGCCAAAGACCCTTCCCTTCTCTTAGTATTCTAGGTATATAGCATATTCTGACCCAGAGGTTTAAATCCTGAGAACTTGTCTTGCAGAGGGTTGAAGGGAGACTTTTCATGGGAGAAGGTAGATCCAGATCACCCTAGTCTTTGGATAATAGAGATGCAAATCAGTGTGGGGAATAGCACAGCCTACACACACACACAATACACACAATAATAATAACAATATCATTACATAGGTTGCTGGGTGCCAGGATTATAGTTCTTTTCAAAACATGATCTGGAAGATATCATTGGCCCATATTGTATCTGTTTTCTCAATTATAAATCTTTGGAACAGATTTGTCTTTATTTGGAATTTAATTCTTTTTTTTTTTTTTTTTTTTTTTTAAATTTTTTTTTTTCAACGTTTATTTATTTTGGGATGAGGAGAGACAGAGTCATGAACGGGAGGGGCAGAGAGAGAGGGAGACACTACGAATCGTGAGCAGGCTCCAGGTCTGGCCAGTTCAGCCGAGCTCCGAAGCGGGCCAACATCACGGACCGCTGAGATCAGTACGCTGAAGTCGGATGCTGAACCCATACCCCACGCGCCGCACCCAGGCGCCCCTGGACATTTAACTTTCAAATACATCTTTAGGAAATTTCCTGAATATTGTGAAAGTTGCTAAATTTTAGGAAAATATAGGGCTTTGGGTAAAAGTGTGTTTATGCATTTGTTTTCCCCAAATTGTTTTTTTTCATCCTTCATTCATACCAACTCATATATGGGTATGCTACAAGGAGTTAAGTACATATTTTAAAAGATTTTAAGGATAATGTTGGACCATTCTTCTGTTTCTTAGTTCATGTATGTGTGTGCTTATCTTTTGTTTATCTTATTTAGCAGTTTTAACATTTGGATATGCCTAAAATCTTGACTCTTTATCTTTTCAGAATCTTTAGAAGAACAAGATGTTCTTGATAACAGTACAGAGCAGACAGATGAGAAAATATCAGATACAGAGCAGACAAACCAAGGGATTGAAAAAATTTCTGGCACAGAGGACCCGGAGGAGAGACAAGAGACCGAGAATGAGGAGACCTCGGTGAATGAAGCCAAATCAACAGTTCCCAGAGTGGATTCTATTCCGAATCCTGAACTCAGTGGAGAATCTTTGATGGCAGTGTAGTAAATGCTTCCACGTGCCTTCCACTGGACATTTGTAGACTTGTTGATGTCAGTTATTGCTTTTTAGGTGCTGCTTTCTTTTTTTCCCCTCTAAGGATGTGCTTGATATCATTTGAATTCAGATTACTTAGCTATTTCAATATGTCAGAATTTTAGCTACTGGGTATTAAATTAAAGGCAAGGGATATCAGTAAAGGAAGATCCTTTGGAGTGTACAAAGACCCACACTGTTTAGCCAGCTTTTAGATGTTTTCTTCCATTCTAAAAGTAAACAAACATAGCATTCTTGTTTTCTCTATGTGTGACCTGTAAATAATACCCATTTTGACATAGGAAGAACTTTGGTTATGAGTAAGTTCTAATAGTGTTCGTTTTAAGGAATGAAACCCAATTAAGATTTTAAATAATTCATTATCAAAAATGGATAAAATTTTAATTCTTGAGATATTTTCCAGGAGGGGAAATGTCTATTTAGGCATTTACATTAAGTGGTATGAAAGTTACAAATAACTATATAGGCATTGGTACGAATTCTCAGTAAGAATGCAACTGAACAGTCAAGTGCAGTGTTTCTTTTTGATGTTTCTTATTTTGCAGCTGGGCCAAAGGCACATGATGTATATAATTAGCTTATGTTTACATATTAACATATAGGAAATATCTCTGCACTTGACTGTACTTGAATTCTGAGCATTATTTATACTTGTAAAATAATGGTGATATTATAAGTGAATTTTGTGCTCTTGTGTGTGTATTGTTAAGGAAAATAAAGATGATCTGGCAGCAGTTTCTTTTTGTTAAATATCTAGACTTCTTCAGACAGTGTCTTGGTAGATGACTTGGCTATCTGAAAAATCTTAGTAAGGGGAGCTCACAATAAAATTAATCCATAGACTCTCCTGAGAGCAAATTTTGATGCTTCTGTTCAGACCAATTGCCTTTCAAACTCAGAGAAATAGTGACATGTAGACGTTCTAATCAGAGATTAGAGTTTCCTGATTCGGGAAAACCTTAAGCCATTTGTAATTTTTAATTTTGAGAGACAAAGAAGTACTGTGAGAATAGGTAGTTACTAGTAGTTCATTGGGTTTAATATATGTATTAACTGGCAAAACATTAGACCCAGAATGGTAATTCTCATACCTTGCATACAATGTGGTTGGTTATCTTATTTTCCTTTTATCTTTCTTCTCCATTATTCAAAAAATTGAAATCAAGTTATGCCAAAGGGAAGCATATACAGGAATGGTACATATGGGAAATATTTCTAAATTGTATGTAGTTTATTAAAAATTTAATAAAATAATATTTGTTATTAAAAATTCATATTTATGATTTAGTATCTTATATATGATAGGTATTTTAATGAACCCAATCTGTTAATAGTCTGAGGCATTATGGCACAGGGACCAGAGTTTTTGAGATTACAAAACGCTTTAAATTTCAGCTCTGCAGTCTTGGGCAAGTAACTCAACCTCTCTGAGACTGGTTTTTCAACTGTAAAATGGGAAGTATGATACCTACTTGTCGGAGTATAGGGAAGGTGAGAAATAATTTGTATAATAGGCCAATTATTCATAGATAATTAAGCAGATGGTAGCATTTTATATTATTGATATCCTTGTGAAATATGAAGGGCTATAAATTCTTCCTCTTGCAAATAAGGAAATGAAAAAATAATGTGAACATAGAATTCAGCTGCTCAGAATCAAGCCAGTATTCTCTGCATCAGCTTTTCTCTATCTTATACATGTATAGAAACACATAGATTAAGGAAATAGGAACCTGAAGCTGTGGAATATCATCTCTGAATGTAATTTTTTTTTGGGGGGAGGGAGTGAATCCATCAGATTTTGTACGTTATGGGCTCATAAATATTTTAGTAACATCTTGTTGAGTCGTCTTGTTTTAAAACATTCAAATTCTGATATACATTGCTTGAAAATGAGTATTTCAGAGAAATATAACTTAATGATAGAATCAAGCAAATATTATGAGAAATAACTTTGCAAGAAATGTGGAAGAAGGTTAAAAGGGGATTAGTAAAATTAATGCAATGGGTAACATGCTTACCCATTGTATAGTGATTGTATAGTACGCTTGAAAACAGAAAAGGTTATTCTGATATTGTAATAAGTAGTTAATGGTTCGTGAGAGTGGTAAAATGTTCTGATTCTTAAGACTACTATAAGAAACTACTATTGAGGCTAGGAAAAACAAACTATTGAGTGCCATTAGCTAGAGTGAGCTTCCCTACTAAGAAATGCTCAACAGATATTTTCTAAACTCTTCTCACTGTGTCCTCAGCATGATCTACAAACGTGGTCTGGCTGCTACCCCTCCATGCCTCTTCCACCATTTGCTACAGCTTCACGGGCCCTTCCAATTCTGTGACCACGCTAAGCCCGTTCCTGCATTAGGTCTCCGCTTAAATGGTCTCTTCTCAGAGAGGTATGCTCTTACATCCCTGGTCTAAAGCTGGCCTCTGCCTGTTGCTCTCTGTCATATCACTTAATCTCTACTATTGGACACTTTCAATATTTTATTTGTTTACCGGTTTACAGTCTGCCTTCGCAACATAAAATCTGTGTGTGCAAGCCTCTTTTTTTGTCTTACTCACCGCTGTATCTCCAGGTCTAACACAGTGCTTGACACATATTTATTATGTGAATGAATAACTTGTTGCTAAATCCAGTGAAAACTCTCAGTCCTTAACTTATTTCACTGTTTGACAGTATTGACATTGCTGAGCATTCCCCTTGGTTTGAAACACTTTCTTTTTTTCTTTTGGCTTTTGACCTCTCACACTCTGGCCCCTTTCTCTCAGCGTCCTTTCTCTTTCCCTGTGCGCCCATTAAATACTGGTGTTCCATAGCTTCTACCTAGTGCCACATTTTTTCACTCTGCATATTCTGTCCCTGGAGGATGTCATCAACCCCATGGATTTAATTAACACCTGTCTCTCTGATTCTCAAATCTCCAGCCTTGATCTGTTTGCTTCACTTCAGAGAGATATATTCACCTGCCTTCTTAATGTCTCTTACAATCAGTATATCAAAAAACGAACACCATTTTCTCCTTCAGACCTTCAAAACTTTCAAACATTATGTGTTTGAACTGCAGTGCCCATTCAGCCCTTTCCCCCTTCTTCTTATATCTTCACTGTCAGTTTCTGTCTCCAAAACATCTTCGAGTTATTTTCTCATTTTTCCATCCCATTAACATTACGTCAATAAATGATAATAAAACATTTGCATTCTTCCTCTGTGCCAGGCAACATGCTAACTGTTGTATGTATCTTATTTTATTTGTTCTTTGGCATAACCCTGTGAGGATTTTTATTTCTGGATTATAGATGAGAAACCTGAGCTGTAGAGAGAGTAAGCAACTTGGGCAATGGAAAAATCTGGGATTTGAATGTAGGCAGATTACTTCAGAAGTCTTGCTCTTAATTACTGTTGTGCTGCCTTCTAATTCAGGCTTCCATTATCTCCAAACTGTCTCTTCACTAGTTTCTATCTTCAGTCTTGCCCACTTGCTATTTATGATGTGCACTATAGCCCGAATGAATTTTCAGAATTGGAAAAGGAATCCTGCTACCATTGCTTAAACTGTTCCATGATTCCTCCTTGTTCTTGGGATGAGGTTCAAACTTACTGATTGGGCCAACAGAGCCTGTGTAATTTTGCTTCTAGAACACAACTATTGCTATTGTTTTCTGGTCTCCCCGCTCCCCTCCCCGTCCCACTTTTAATGTAGCTGTCCTAATGTTTTCTGTGGTTTGCATATGCAAAGTTTTTTTTATAATCCCCTAGCTTCCTCTTCCCGTGCTTGGGATATCTCCCCACTCACACAGACATGGGGTCACTCAATAAATAGTTGCCAAATTCCATCAAAATACTAATAGAACCCACATTTGGAAATTTTGCTAGTTGTTAACCTATGCCTTTTATTGCTGAAATTTGTCTTTTGCATTTTATTCATTAGATACACAATGTTATGGAGAACATGACTGAGTCAGGAGACTTACAGCTTTGAGTGTATATGTGTTTTTGTGTGTGAGACAGAGAGAAAGGGAGAGATATTCTAATTATATAATGATTGTCCTTAAGTATTATATGCTGAGTGTGTCAGAAAAGCTAAATGATTTAATGTCACAGGAGTAGCTAGCATCTAAACCAAGCTGGAACTCAGATCTCAGCTCTTAATGCAGGATACTTTATACTGAACCATCCATTTCACACTGCCAATCAATAATAGTGTTAGAGTTTAAGATTACTTTAAAAATGTAACCTGTTTTCTTATTTTTTTCTAATATTACTTTGCAAAATTATAATACTACCTGTTAGATCGTGTGCAAATCAGTCAAAGGGTCAAAGAATGGGGGTAATTTACAGAATTGTGACTGGCTATTTTGAAACAATCATGGAGAACAGAGCTGCTTTAGAAAATCGGAAGAAAATAATGTGGTAAGTTATTCTACGGTATAACTTCAATTCATTGTAAAAATTGTAGAGATTTAGATATAGTTTATGGACTCCAAAATAACTATTAATATATATAAAGATGATCATGAATTGATGATCTGCTAAATCTTAGTTTGTAATTTGACTTCTTTCGAAGTGTTTTTTTTTTTTTTTATGTTTGTTTATTTTGAGAGAGAGAGTGCGTGGGTATGTGTGAGTGAACGGGGGAGGGGCAGAGAGAATCCCAAGCAGGCTCCATGCTCAGCATGGTGAGCTTGGAGCCTGACACAGGGCTCAGCCTCACGACTGTGAGATCATGACCTGAGCCAAAATCAAGAGTCAGACACTCAAGCTCTCAACCGATTGAGCTACCCAAGCACTCCTGTTTCAAACTTATTGAAGATCTAAATTTGTCAACTCCACCTACCTGATAAGTAAATGTATTCAGGCTCTGAATTTAGAAAAACTTATAAACAGAGCAAAGTACGTTTATTAGAATACAAACATAAGAGTAAAAATTAAAAAGAATAAAAACCTTACTAAATTTTATTGCTCCATAAACTATTAATTTGTCTCAAC